TATGTCTGATGTTTTGACATCATGAGTCTTACTGATCCTGGAGAAATTTTCCCTGTCCCTAAGCTTATCAATTAATAGTAAAGGACTCACCAATCAATGAGTGTGCCTTTCATACTCAAATCAGTCCACCCAAGGCCCATAATCCCACCACCACCACCACCAATGCCTTTATTGTGCTTTCACACACCAGGGTCAGGTTCTGGACAACCAGACACTCCCTGAACCCCAGTTCTGATCCCAAGCTTGCCAATCCTAAGCCTGCGCTTCATGCCTTGCCCATTTGAATATCCTCCTTTTCACCAGCACCTCTACTTTCATGCCCATGTCTTCCTGGCTCTCAAGTCTGGACTGACTTCAGTGTTTGCTAAAAGGCAATCAGATGAAATTGAATATGAAAGGCTAGGCAATGGCTGAAATCCCTTTGCAATTTCAAAATACTAACAACAGCTAGGGGGTGGGGTGGAGAAGGAGGGCATTTTCTCAAGACTTTCCCATAGCATATTCTTTTAGGTGTGAAATGTTGTGTTAGCCAAGCCCTACATTATGTGATGGCCTGTCCGTTTTGTCTATAGATTGAATTTAAAGTCCACTTTAAGATTAATGGTCAAAATTCAACATGTTTGAATGAAGGTTGTATTCAATCTGTCACTGCAACATTCGCCACAAGGGCCCTTATGGTCCAGTGCTTATGATGTAAGGAGAATTCAGAGGCAGCCACTACATGGTAGTGAAAGGATAGGAATAAAGTACAGTCTTCATCGAGGAGTATAAAGGTCAGAGCCAGGGTTTACACTGGTGCAATGTACAACAAGCCTGCTCAACAAATTCTTTAAGCCTAAGTATATAAAATCTAATAAAACAATTAGGGTTTATGAGGTGAGAAGGACTGTAGGTGATTTAATCAAATTGTTCTGTTTTGTAGGTGAGGAAACTGAGTCCCTATGTACTAACTTGTCCAGGGCCCTGAAGCTAATCCATCATCCTTTTTCTAATACAGCACAATACTTCATTCTTTAGCCCTAAGCTTTTGTTTGTACAAATAAAGATGCTGCCATTGCTACTAGCCCAGAGAGTCTCTGGCTGGGTTCCCACAGTTTCCATGATGATGATGATGATGATGATGATGATAGCTACTAACATTTTTGTGTTTTTGAGTACACAAGACTGGAGGTAAGTATATTAATTTTTTGTTCCTTTTAGAATTAAGGATCCATAGCACAATTTCCCCAGTCACATAGGTGGGAAGAGGAAGAGTCAGATCTGTCCCCAGAAGGCTGTCTCTGGAACACACATCCTTAACCACTACTTGGACTGCCTCCATGTGGTTGCTTGTATACAAGGATATCTTGTATATAAAAATCCCATAACCTGAGTATCCTTTTGCGTCCCCTCCCCTGCAAGCAAAGTCAAGGCCTGAGACTAACTGCTAAATCCTTACGGGACACCCTCCAACCCTGAACCTGGTGCAGTGGGCACCTGGGCATTCCTTCTGATTCCTGCTACTGCTGTCACCCCCATTGGTATTCTTACCACCACTCACACCACCTGTGTGGCTGTGCCAAGCAACAAGGGGAGTTTTCCTACTGCTTGCTCACTTTTGTCCTCTTTGCCTCCACCCATCATCTCACCAAGAATCAAGCCCTAATGGAAAGGTAAGGGAGTGGAGCTCACCTCACCACCCAGTACCACACTTGGGGGTTGAGGGGTGGAAGCTGTAGTGGGTTTATAGCCCCAGTGGGGGTTCTCCCACATGTTAGATTCCATTTTGATTTACAGACTGAGTCTTTGCATTCTGGGCCTTTTGCTATAGAGTTTGATAATTCTGCATTTATTCATGTCAGACTTGCATCTTTCTTAATATTGGGGAACCAGATAGAGGACCCAAGTGTATATCATTTGCATTATTTTGTTAAGCATTCCCTTCACTACAACAATTTCCCTTTTTCATTTGAGGTGTCATCTAGGGAATTCTCAAAGTCTGAAATCATAATTACTTTTCCTCTGGGGATGCAGGGAGGCACCTGGGCATGCTTCTAGAGAGAGCAAATAATAATTTCTTTTTAGGGAGAAAAAGTTGGTGACCCCATGAGCAACTGTCATTTTGTACTAAGTACATGTTACTCTGGTGACCTGATAGATAATTTGAGTGGCTGGACAGCTTGGCTGTAAGAACCCTTTTTACTGTTGAGATAAGCATAAGAAAAACAATTATGGGAGTCCCTATAAGAAGTGTGACTAGGTGACTGCGCCATCAGTCTAACTGTTAGATTTTGTCAAAATCTAACTGTTAGGATTTGTCCTGTTGCTCAACTAGTCTCTGCTGTGGACTGGAAAATGTGGTTGTGTTTACATCTAGGAACTGAAAGTGCTTGCAAACACCCTTTCAGTATTAGTTCTTTATTTTAAAAATTAATAATTTGTGTAGAGATCTTGACCAGGATTGCTTGGCTAATATTAAGACTTTTGCCTTCCATCTTTTAGAAAGCAACTATAGGAAGTTGTTTAACAAGTAGATTTTCAGTTTGAGATAATGAAAAAGTTCTGAAGATGAGTGTGGTGATGGCTGCACAGCATTATGAATGTAATTAATGCCACTGAATTGCACACTTAAAATGGCAAATTTAACATTTCATGTATTTCACCACAATATATATTTTTTTAAGTAACATTGAGGAGAATAAAAAGTAACTAGCATTTGCAGAGGTGGAAGCAGGACCTTGAAAAATTACAACCCCTCCTCCAATTTTCTTTTTCATAAAGCATAACATACTTTAAATAGAGTATAAAGTATATTAATCTTAGACTTAGCTGTTCAGCTCATTGAATTTTTATATGTATTATGCCTGTGTAACCTCTACCAGACAAGATGTAAAACATTCCAGCACCACCAAAGGTTCCCCTCCGTTCGGTAACCCCTAGAGATAACTGCTATTTTGATTTCCTTTTGTTTTGTTTTGTTTTTATTTTTAATTATGAGTGGAGAACAGTTTTTCCTTGCTATATTTCTTACTCATAATATTAGTATAAGTATTATTGTTTTTCTTGTATTTTCCTACTGTAAAACTGTTAGCGTAGTACTTTATTTTCTTTCTCTTTTTTGCTTTCTTTCTTTTTTTAAAAAAAGATTTATTTATTTATGCATACAGTGCTGGGGTGCAGGTCAGAGGTGGGGGGGTGAGAGGATTCACCAGAGACAGAGTGGGGAGCAGAACAGGTAGATTTACTGAAATCTGAGAGGAACAGTGGATGAGACAGGAGATGTCTTCTACACCATGTGGGTCAGCTCCCTGGCAGGGATCGAACTTATTATGCCACAGTGGCTGCTGATAGTTTCATAGTGCTGAGACTTAACCCTTGCACCACCAGGGAAGCCCTCTTTTTTTGCTTTCATCCTCCACCAAGCCACCCATACCCATACCCCATCAGCCTCCCTTCCCTGTATCCTCCACTCCCTGCCCCCCACCTCCCCACCCTGTTCTGTCTGACAACCATTATATTCTTTTTGATGAGTTCAAGATTTATCGCCATTATTTGCTTTTGCCAATACTTGAACTTCATGTCCGGTGTCTTTCACTTAGCATTTGACTGTGAAATCCATTCATTTATTAACATTTCCACATTCTTTTTAAAGTTGCTGTGTAGTTTTCATTGTATACTATACCACTTTAATTTATCCCTTCTTCAGTTGAAGAACATTTAGATTATCCTAGTTTGGGGCTATCATTTGCATTATTACAAGGAACAGTTCTTTGATAAACTTGCGTGCTTTCTTGGTTATGGAGTGAGAGTGGGGTGCTGAATCATAGGGTGCAAGTGTTTCGCTTCATAGCTACTGCCTGTTTTCTGAAGTGGCTTCACTAGTTTCTACTCCCATCAAGCACGAGTTGTGGTTGTTCCTGGACCTCACGAACACTTGGTACTTTATCACTTTCAAGCCGTTCTGGGGCATGTAAGGTAATACACTGAAATTTAAATGATGCAAAAGTGGAAAATTTTTTTAATTGTGCAAATGTTTAAACTTCTGTCCCTCAGTAAAGACCCTAAAGTCAGTGGAGCAGGGTGAAGAGGGGCCTGTGGCCCCTTGACCTCTGCCTTGGGCAGAGGCTGCCTGCTCTGTGTCTCCATCGATTTGACAACTTTTTCATGCCCTTTGTCCCAGATGTAGCTATATCAGTGTTGGCCTTGGGCCTCTGCCTGTCTCTGGTATTCTAGACCTCTCCAATGATGTTCCTTAAATTTATAATGGTTCAGAGAATTTATTTGCGGTTTTTCTCACTAATCTTGAATGTTACTTCCTGAGCCAAAAGTGTAAGCACTTTTAGGGACCCCCCCCCCTTATACTTCCATACCATCAGTGAATGTTTGTTCTGCCTTTTCGTGACAGGGAAGAAGGCAGAAAAGTAGTGGAGGTCTTCTGCTTTCTTTCTGTTGTCCCTTAACAGGATTCTGACCTCCAGACAAGTTTGCTTCCCTTAGAACATGCTGTCTGTGTGTTGAGCTTGGAGTTAAGTACACGGTGATATTCAGGCTGTTTTAACTCTTCCCTCTGTTTCCTCCAGATGTTTGTTTCTAAGCTATTTTTTGTTGTCCTTGATATTTTTGTGTGTGCATTGTCCTATTCTGCCTTTCATGTGTCTCGCAGTACTTTTTCCACCTGCTCCCATTCTTTTTACATTTTTTTTCATCAGAGAAGCAGGTGTTTGCTTTTTTGTGATTTTTTTTTTTACTCATTATTTGAAGTGTGATGTGATAGGTAATATTCACTCATAGTCTCATAACGTTCTTTAAAACAGCAGTGGAAGATCATAACTTGCCCTCTAAATGATAGACACAGGTCTGTCTCGCTTGGTAATTTTTCACTTCCTACTGCTGTGCACCGCAACTTGTTGCTGCATCTCAACTGCTGGTCAAGTGGCATTGCTTGGTTGCTTCTTTGTGTATCACATTCATTATGGAAAATGTATCTCTTCATCTTTTCTTTCCCTCTGCCTCTCTCTTAGCTCAAGAGAGCAAGCAGCGAGGACATGCTCAACAAGCCTGGAAGTGCTGCTGTTTCTGGGGTAGCTCGACTAAAAAAGACTTCGACAGCTGGAGCCATCTCTGAGCTCACTGAGAACCGCCTGAGGAACAACCCAGGTAGGAGGGAGCCAGGAAGGTGGGAGTGAGGGAGGAGGGACCCAGGTAGGAGGAAGCCAGGAAGGAGGAATCCAAGGAGGAGCGAGACAGGGAGGAAGGAGCCAAGGAGGATGGATGAAGGGAAGGGAGGAGAGAGCTAGACAGGCCAAGCCATTCATCTTGGCTGTATGAAATAGTAATAGCTTCCATGGTTCAAACATCGTTTCCCTTATCAAATATGCTTCAAGCACTTACTCTGGGCCAGGAACTGTTTTAGGCAGTATAATGTCTTGCCCAGAGGAAGCGCAAGTCTCATGCGGAGCTAGAGGAGAAGTAAAACAGTAATAGGGGGTTCTGTGGTTCTCTTTTGTCCCTCTGGTTGTCAATCTGTCACCATGTGCATTTGAGAAGCAGGCTGTGTGGGTGCCTATTCTGGGGTTGTCTTGGTGCAAAGTGTGTTAGATGAATGAATGACCCCCATGGTTCTCTCACAGATGTGAGCATTTGTCCTGTATCCCATGGCAAACTGGGAAACCCCTCGCATGATAGCTGATCAAGTTTGCTTAGATGGCAGTGGCTGTTGGAACTCATGAATTTTCTCAGTGTTACTAGATTTTTAAGAAACAAAAGGTTTTTTTAGCCACTAGTTGAGTTCAGAGCATAGGAAACTTAAAACATCAGCGAATGTATTTCATTTTCTTTCTGAACACACAGATAAGAAAGCTCAGCATTCCATGGACTAACTCTTATAATGAAGCTCCTTGTGTTGTGAATTATCAGAGATGGGAAATAGCTGAAAGATGTCATTATTAAGTTATAATCAGGGTTCATGGTAGTATACTTATGATTTTCACACTTTTACATAAAAAAACTCACAGTCCAGATTAACTTGCCAAAGGTATTCTTAATTTATTTAGTTTTCAAAAAGTTGAATCTGTGAAGAGTATGTCTTTTTTTAGATATAATAGGAATGGCCATGTGTTTCTATATCATGGTCTTACTATTTTAAAGACTGGTGTCATAATAAATACATACACATTTAGCTTTAAAAAAATAGCATATGAAAGTACAACTTATTTTTATCAAGGCAGCCTAACATTGATTCCAAAAGTTAACAAAGCACCTCTGAAAAATGAAAGGATGAAATTATCCTCAAATATTGATGCAAAAAATGTGAGATCAAATATAAGTGAAATGAATCAGACGGAGAGAGACAAATATGATGTAATCTCACATATTTGTGGAATCTGAAAAACAAACAAAATATCAAGTTCTCTGAAAACAGATTGGTGGTTGCCAGAGGTGGGGTGGTGGGGAATAGGCAGAGGGTATAAACTTCCAGTCATATACTATGTCATGGGATATAATGTACAACATGGTGACTATAGTAATGATACTGTATTGCATATCTGACAGTTACTAAAGGGTTAGATTTAAAAGTCCTCAACATGAGAAAAAAATTTCTAACTCTATATGGAGATGGTTTTTAAGTAGATTTATTGTGTGATCATTTCATAATATGTGCAAATAATTGACTTAATAGTAGTTGTACACCTGAAACAAATATAATTGTCAATTATTATATCTCAATGAGAAATACCCCCCAAAATTCAAAAATAGAATTCAACAAGAAGTTAAAAGGACAATAGTGCATCACAATAAAGTAGATATATGCCGTTCAAGAATGGCTCAATATTAGGAAATTTTCTAAATGTGATAGACTAGACCAAAAAAGAAAAATAGTATGGTAATCTATATAGAAATGGAGGATGCATTTGAGAAAATTAGCAGTCTTATTTTTTATCAGAAAGATACTCTTGGTAGACTGTAATATGTGGATACTTTTTCATTGCTCTTCTGTATTCAACTTCAGGTTTTATTATTTGAGATAATTAGGGCTTTAATTAAAAATTATTTTTCCCTATCACCATTCCTTATACACCCTTGTTCTTTCATCCCTCCCTCCCCCTTTAGCCTCAAAGCCCTCAAGGCATTTATTAATGTTCACTAGGTTTTTATTTTAAACTATTTTACTTTGTCCAGTCACCCACTATGTAAATGTCCAGCATTTTTCTTTGTCATTCTCACTGGCTTTATTATACATAATTCTTTTGAATTCCCTCCATTTTGCTATAAATGGCTGCATTTTTTTCTTATTGCTGAATAGTATTCCATAGTGTAAATATACACCTCTTCTTTATCTGGTCCTGAGGTTTTGTTTTAGGGAACATTTTTTATTGCTATTTTGTACTGCTTTTAAATAATTTTTTAAATTATTATTTGTTTATTATTTTTGCTCATAACATATAAGAGAAAGTTTAATGATGAATACTTTCAGTTTTTGTCTATTTTAAAGCTTTTATCCCTCCTTCAATTTTGAATGATAGTCTGGCATGGCAAAATATTCTTGGTTGAAAATCCTTTCTTTCAGGACTTTAAAATATATCATGTCTCTCCATAGCATGCAAGGTTTCCTTGAGAAATTGAGGTAATCTTAACAGGGTTTCCTTATATGTGATTCATTTTTCTCTGGAAATTTCTAGTATTCTTCCCTTGTCATTAGTTTTTAACAGTTTGATTAATCAACTATAATATGGTCTCAGGTGTGTCTGTTTACTCTTTGGGCTTCTTGGATCAGAATCCTTCCCCAAGATAGGGATATTCTTAGCTATTACTTCTTTTTATATATATAAGATTTATTTATTAATGCATACAAGAGCTGGGGTACAGGTCAGAGTACAGATGTGGGAGATGAGAGGATTCACCAGAGACAGAGTGGGGAACAGAACAGACAAATCAACCGAAGAACACTGCTGAGGGGAGCAGCGGGCGAGACAGGAGAGGTCTGCTGCACCATGTGGGTAGCTCCCTGGCCGGGGATTGAACTTGTGCTGCAATGGCTGAAGACAGCTTCATAGGTTGCATCTTAACCCGTTGTGCCACCAGGGAGGCCCTATTACTTCTTCAAATAGTTTCTACCCCTTTCTCTCCTCTACTTCTGAGACCCCATGATGCAACTATTATTTCTCTTGGTATTGTCTTATAAGGTTCTTAAACTATTTTTGTTCTTTTTAACTCTTTTTTTGTTTGTTTGTTTGTTTATTTTGCCAGTCTGTTGGGTGTTTTCCACTACTGTGTATTCAGACTGGCTGATCTTATCAGCTGCTTCAATTGTTTTTCTTCTTTCAGTAAGCATAGTTACTCTTCAGGTATGTTACCTAGTTCTACTGGATTTAGACTTTTCCCAGATGTTTTTTTTCCTTCATCTGTGGAATCTGTCTCTTCAGTTTTAGTTTTTATGGGTTGAGCTAAATGATGTTCTTTACTTAACTTGATCTGTTTGCCTTATATTAAGATTATAGGTTGCAGGATATAATTCTAGGTTATTTGTCAAGAATACTGGAGTGTCTGTGGCTTTTATAGACTGAAGCCTCGCCCCTGTTTGGATGACTGGCACTCTAATGCCAGTAGAGGTAGGAACTGGGGCAGCAGGGAACCAAGAGGCTACTGCCGAAGAGTACCAGGAATTCACATTTTCTTAAAACTGCAGGTGCCTGAGCTGCAGGGAGATTCTGCAACTTCCTGGGCCAATTTCTCAGTCAAAGCTTCCCCAGGCCAAGACTGGCCTCTCAGTTGAGGCCCAGCTCTAGTTTGTGGATTCTGCGACTAGAAACTATAGAAGAGTGATCTGGGAAGTGTGGGTTCTCACTGCAGACAGGCCATAGTCCCAATTGTGATGGCCGTGAGGGGAGAACAAGGGGTATGTGTTTATTGTGTCTGTTTGTGCAGTCTGTAAAGGTTTTCTTCTCTTGCAGTCCTCTCTGGATCCCCTCTGGGGTGGGGTGGTGGTGGTTTGGGAGGGGTCTGAGATCAGGATAGAGCCTCTTTTGGGGGTGGGAGAGGGACTATTCCCAGTGACTTTCACCTGCTGAGCATTTTCTTGAGGTGCACCTCCTGCCACCTAGGTGCTTTAAAGTCAGATTACAGGCAGCAACACCTTAGATGAATGTTATCCCAGCAGTGGCCCAGGCTAGGGTGGGCCAGGTATTTCCCCTAATACATAAGTCAGTTGTAATAGGAGGCTCACATATGCAGGACCACAGTAGACCCTTCTCAGACACATTTCATTTCTCTAACCAGGCCTTCCCCACAGGCTTAAGCTCCAGCTGCCCATATCAGGGGCCTCCAGGCTCAAGCTGACAGTCCCCACCTTAAATAAGGGCTAAGCCGTCACTGTAGGACTATTCAGATGGCCTCAAGCACCCTACTGGCAGAGGTATATGATGTCTCACCCTCCAGTCCTGATTCCAGTCCTTGGTTGATTTCTAACAGTGTAGTGTCAGTCTTTGCCTAGATCTATTTGGTTCCCCTCCCCCAGTATTTGACTATGGATCTCTACTCCCCTGAATCTATCTGTTTTCTACACTTGATTGTGTGTTCCCTTCTCCAACGCAGTCTCAAGTTCTGAAGTCCCTGCTGTGGGCATTTGCCCTTCCATCATCAACAAAAGTAGGCTTCACAACTGCCCTCTCTTAGGTCACATTGGCCAGGAGGGTTCCAAGTAAAATTATATTGCAGTTTTCCAGCCCTCTCTGCTGTGTTTCTTTTCCTTACAAAATTAATGACCCTTCAGTCATCCTTCAGGGACTGCTGTTTTCATCTTTACACTATTTTGTTGTATATATTGGGAGGACGTAAGGCCATCTTTATTCTTTTCCCATCTTGCTGGAACTCTGAATATTTTTTTAATAATTAAAATATTTGTATCAGGCATTATGCTTAATGGTGAAATCCTGGAGGATGATTCAAGGCTCTCTATTGTCACCACAGTCATCTAAATTTTTCTGCAAGTAGTAATCAAGGCAATAAGACAAGAGAGCTATAAAAGTGTATAAATGTTGGGAATAGGGGAAAAATCATTCTATGCAGATAGTAACATTGTATTAACATTAAAAATCTTAGAGTTTTCTGAAAATTGTACCATTAGGAAAAACTCAAAAATGTTCTGAAAATCTATTGCA